CCTGACAAAGTCGGGATTTCTCTGGATAAAAGGTACCCTATGTCTTTTTCTGTACCCCTGAGAGTGTGTGGATTTTTCTGGATAAAAGGTACCCTATGTCTTTTTCTGTACCCCTGACAAGGTCTCGATATCTCTGGATAAAAGGTACCCTATGTCTTTTTCTGTACCCCTGACAATATGTGAAAAAAATTTCATGATGGTCGGATAAGTAGTGAAATACCCTAAACTAAATTACATGAATAAAAAAAACAAAATTGTATCAAGTTTTTTATTTATAACGAAAAATTGTCCGCCCCCTCAAAAACATCCGTGCCTTAAATTAAATCTATGCCTGCTTTTGTGGTCATAAAATTTTGACCATTAATAGAAATCTAAATCTTTAATTTTTTAATTGTATAACTATTTTTGCAGATGCTTTACCAATTAAAGATCTAAAGAATACCCCCTGTGCACCGACCGATTCTTTTGTACTCGAGTGTAACACATGCTACTGCAATGGACAAGGAACCGGATATTTATGCACGGAAAAGATTTGCCCCGTCATCGATCAAACGTCAACTGTTGTAGCCAATACGTCATCTCCTGGTGACAACACGACGCATTCAGTTGCGACCACACCATCGGTAACATCCTCGACCGCAGCATCAATAACATTTTCGACTACACCATTGACTGCATCGTCTACCACAGTTTCAACCACACCCTCTACCACTGTAACAAACGTTACGGGGGAAGTTCAAAGTAGTAGTGACCGGCCTAGCGAATAGTGACATTATAAGAGACTGTTTCAGGGAAATGATCGCATTTTTTACCTCACCTAAACGTTATATCAGCATTATTACTTTACTAGAACGTTTTAAGATTTAATACTACGTAATTTTAATTTCGACAATAAGTTATTGCACTTTGATTTCAGCTTATCTTGGTATGCCTATACGAGTTTTTTTTTAATGAGATATCTATTTATTAGTGTTTCATTTTAGGTTAGTTATGTTATTTATTAAGAATGACGATTTGTAAGGTGTTTTTTTTTGTAATACTGTAATTCTTAATCAAAAGACAAAATGCAATGGATAATTTTACGAAATAAAAATGTTAGTTTAAAGCAATGTCTTCAGTTTTATGGTTTAAATTACGAGGGTGGATTGATAAGTTTCCGGCCTAACCAAGAGATGACGCCACTAGGCCTACCTTGAGGTGACATTCTATAGTACCATCCTTGGATAGCTTGTAGCTATAGTTTCAGCCCGATCTCCTTGCTAGTGTAGGTTTGACAGCACGCTGAACAAGACGCCTCTGTGGTTTTCGTAAAAATGGAAAAGCAGGAAAATCGTGCTGTCATCAAATACTTTTATTTGAAGGGGTTAACGCCGAAGGAAATTAAAAAAGAGATGGACTCAACACTGGGGACATCCTCCCCGTCATATTCAACCGTTAAGCAGTGGGTTTCCGAGTTTAAAAAGGGTCGTGTGAGCACCTCTGATGGGCCTCGCTCAGGACGCCCCGTTGAGGTCACAACTCCAGATATGATCGAAAAAATTCATCAAATAGTGCTGGGAGACCGCAGATTGAAAGTGCGTGAGATAGCTGAGACCTGTAAGATGTCATATGAACGTGTGCAACATATTTTGCACCAACATTTGCATATGGAAAAGCTCTGTGCAAGATGGGTGCCGCGTTTGCTAACAGTCGACCAAAAATTGATTCGAAAAAACATTTCTACCGCAAATTTGTCATTGTATAAGCGTAATCCAAGCGAATTTTTGCGTCGATTCGTAACCGTTGACGAAACGTGGGTCCACCACTACACTCCTGAAACCAAAGAACAGTCTAAACAGTGGATTGGACCAGGGGAACCAACTCCAAAGAAGGCAAAAACAATTTTTTCGGCGAACAAGGTTATGGCTACTGTTTTTTGGGATGCAAGAGGTATTATATACATTGATTACCTTGCAAAGGGTAATACTATCACTGGTCAATACTACGCAGACTTATTGCAACGTTTGAGCCACGAGGTGAAAATTAAACGACCTCATCTGGCGAAGAAAAAAATCTTGTTTCATCACGATAACGCACCAGCGCACACGTCAATCGTTGCGACGGCTAAAATCAACGATCTAAAGTTTGAATTGATGCCGCACCCTCCTTACTCTCCAGACCTAGCCCCGAGTGACTATTTTCTGTTCCCTAATCTCAAAAAATGGCTTGGCGGTAAGAGATTTGCGGACAATGAAGAAGTAATCGAAGCTGTAAATGGTTATTTTGAGGAGCTTGACGAATCAGTCTATAGAGATGGCATTAATAGACTGGAACACCGCTATGAGAAATGTATCAGCCTTGGAGGAGATTATGTTGAGAAATAAAAAAAAAAAATTTTTAAAAACCTTGTTTTTCTTGGTCAGGCCGGAAACTTATCAATCCACCCTCGTAGACCAACTTTGTCCAAACAGTTTTACTAATAATATCTATAAAATTAAAAATATAACTAGTAAAATTTTGCAAAAAATGTTATTACATGTAGTTGTCGCCCTTGCAAGAGACAAAAATATTAAGAATTTAAATTTTGAAATACAAAAAAAAGAAGAAATTTGCTAATTGCCTTCCGTCTTAAATTATTTCAATTTATTGATGTTTAATTTTTTATTTTTAGAAATTCAAAAAAAAATTGTTAAAGGTGTGTCTTCAAGTAGAGCGCTGTACGGGTGCGAAACATGAATGGTAGGTGCGACGGAAAAAAAAGGTTAGAAGCGTTCAAAATGTTACAGACGAATGATAAGAATACCGTGGACAGAGAAGGTTAGAAATGAGGAGTTATTCGAAAGATTAGGATAACAAAGATCATTATGGAAGTTGTGGGATGCCGTAGTTATAGGGAAATGCGAAGATTAGCTTCGAATAGGAAAAAGTAGAAGTGTACGTTCAACCAGTCTTAAAACTGACGATGATACAGAGCATAACCTAAAAAATATTCAGTGTGCAAACAGAAACCAATAAAAGGTTTTTAGACAATTACGAAGAAAATTTAGTGCAAACGAAATATAACAAAATATAAGTATTTACGCGCTTAATTACTCATTAAATAAACCGAACTAATTACCTTTGGGAGTCAACTCGGTCTCACAAAAGCAAGTTGTATTTACGCATTCCCAGCTCCGGCCCTGCATAATATTCTAGGGAAATTTAGCTAAAGGATTGTGTAATATTTTAAATAATCCCCGATATTGTATTCAAAATCATGGATACGCAGTGGAAAACTCAAGTATAGTCTTCAATTAACATCGCAGGAACTATTTACCCCATATTTGACTTTCACTTTTTAAGTTGGTACTGGAGTAGTATGAATAAAACCGTCTCATTTGTAGTTTGAAAATGTTACCATACATATTTATTAAAGATTGTACGGATTCCTTTAATTCTATAAAAATAATCAAAATTACAAATAAATCATTTTAACATAAGTATTTCCATATTTTAAAAGTAAGATGATCATTCAACATAATACCGCACTTTCACATTAATTTTAACTAACAATAAGTACATAGTAATAAAAGTCACTTACGCGTAGTCGCGTAATTGAACTAGAAATAAGATAAAAATTGAACATCATAGACCTTATAATAAATTGTTAGGGTAAGAACATAACGAGGAGCTTCGCCTGGGGCCAACGTTCCGATCAAAACATGGTACCCTTGATCCTTGCTCCGATCCTCGCGCTCGTGTGATCGTATTGACGCGGCGACTCTCGATCCGATTTATGCATTCTCGTATCACTTAATTCTAAATAAATGACAGATTAACATAGATTTCACTTCAAATGATAACACATTCTCTTCATCAGATGGAGATATTTTATTGAATCCATGTGCTAATAGTTGATATTTTTATAAGCAATCACGAAAAAGAAGTCTGCATCCGCTCAACAAAAAATATTTCTAAAATGAAGAATATTATTATATTTACACAAACCTAAAAAAAGGTTTGGAACGTTTTTTGTATATTCGTGAATGACAGTTGTATATTTGATTACATTTTGGGCAAATTAAGAGATAAATTAGATGGAATCCAACATGAATTTCATTTCTTTGTTATCCATCGTCGCGTGTACTGTGGTTCAGGGTCAGAAAAATACTAAGCTAGGTTTTATAGTACCAGGTTTTGGCTTAGTAGGTACTTTGTGAGGTACAATAAGATCATCTTCATTAACAACTACGAATTTATTATTTTTTTGTGAGCGAAGCTATGGTCCCATGTTAGGATCGGAGAGATGGTAGTCGCCCCGTTATGTCCGCCCACCCACTTACATACTATCAAAAAATAGAAGGTCATTATTTTCTGTATCATTATTATCATCCCCGTTAATATCTAAACTAATTTTCTTTTTTCCCTCTTTATTTTTATTTCTATTACCAATATTGCTTCTTCTTTTTCTTTCAATATCTTCATCGTCAATAAATGTAATAATGCTTTCCTTATCGTCACTATTACCACTCCCCTCTTTATTCATTGATTCAGTTTCCTTTCCTTCTAATTCAGTTCCACTCCCTTCGATTACTGGTCCATCCTCACTGCTTTCATAAATAGGACGTTTAGAAGAATTAGTTTCATTATTAACACCGTTTACTTCCGTTTCCTTTATATCAACAGAGTTCTCCGCAGGTTCTTCAGTTTTATCTGGTTCATTAGTTTTTGCTTCTTTTTTGCCAAACAGGTAGAATAACACTCCGAGAGTGTTTTGTGTGGTACTGGTAGATGAGACCGTAGAAGTCTCTTCATCAAAAACTTCTGTGGTACTTATCTTATTTTCCATTTGTGATGAATCAGAGGTAGTTAAAGTCTCCCCGGTATTAGTATCCAATACCTCCTCGGGAGTTGTCACATTTTCAAATTGTGATGAGACGGAAGTGGTTAAATTCTCAGCAGCAACAATATTAGCAATTTCGTCGGTCACACTTTCTAATTGTGGCGAATCAGAGGTAGTATATGAAGTTGTGTAAGTCACTTCATTAACTTTTGTTAATTCTTCTGAAGAAGTTTCAGTAATTAAAGTGGAAGGGATTGGTGATGTTACTGTGATATTAAAAACTTCACTCTCATCTTCGGTTTGTTTGGGTGAATAAGACAGAGGTGGAGTAGTACTAGGTAGGTAGTGATTGTACGTATGAGAATATGTATTCCATCTAAGCCATTCAATGTTGTGACTTTTACAAATCTTATGGGAGAAACAGGAATCATCGCAACATTTGTAACCCACTGGGCAATCAAAGTCGCCGTTGCATTGAAAATGTGCGGTAAACTCTGGTGCCAATGGTACGGAACAGTAGACTATGGCGTATGGACACGTGTTGGGTCTCTCTGAAATTTTTTGGACATATTTAACCGTCATAGAACTAACAATGTCAACTGTTTCTATTATTAACCATTTAGGTATAAATCAGCCATTATTGCTTATCATTTATTGCTTACAATTGTCGACGTTTCGACCATTTTAACTATATGGTTCTTTTGAAGGTAAGATAGCTAGCAATATAATGTAGCGAGCACGAGCGTATTTGTGTGCGATCGGGCACACGTGTGCGTGAACGGCTTGTCGATTCGCCGACTATCCGCGGGCGCTTTTCTTCATGTGCACCGTATTTGTAAATGTGTGTGTCGTACCTGCGTTCTGGGAAAACAGTTAAAGAATTCAAAGAAAAACTAAACGATCCGGATGTTTCTAGACGGTTCCAGAAAGGAAACAAAAGAGTATTTAAAGGAAGAGACGATCGCCGAGAGAGTAGAAATAAATTGACCGTTGCAGAAGTGAATCCAGAAATAAATTGACAGTGATAGCAGTGAATAGTGATATATCAACAGTAGTGTAAATAAATAGAATAATTCATAACCTAAGTTTAGTAATAATTTAATAGTGTTTTTAAGTTCTTCAATAATTAGTGTAAATAAATAGTTTTTGTCGTTATCAGTCTTAGAAGTTAATTTTGTTAAACCCACGAACATTACAATAACGTATCTCAACACAGAAACTAGTCCGTTTTTAAATGTAAAATTCACATGTATTTAATGTGTTAATAAGTCTTTCAGACATGTGCATGATTTATGTGGATTCGACTTCTCTAAAACCAAAATTAGCATGCAATTTACATATGGCTGATAAAACCAAAATCCAAAATAGTGAACAATTGAAATATTGACATATTAACAAAAGTTAAACAAAAACCCTCTCATGGTAAGTATATGTATTGTATATACTGTGGAGATGAACATACAAATTGAAATATCAAATTAAACACACGTATGTTAGAAAGGCAAGGCACACACACGAAAAACATACATTAACAAGCGTCCGACAAGGTTGAAATTAATGATCGATTCATCTGTAAGTAATATACTAATTTTGGTTTTAGAGAAGTCCAATTCACATGCACATGTCTGAAAGATTTAATACATTACATGAATATGAATTTGTTGATAACTTCATTAAAAAAGCAGAGCAGTCTCTGTTTTGAGATACATAAGTCGGTCTATTTCATATTTACTACGTCCTTGGTTACAGCGACCATTTTGCTATAGAGATGTTAAATCTAAGTCCCTTGAATTTAAAGCATACTTTAGTACAACATTCATGTGGCTACGGCGACTTCGGATGTAAAGCCGACTTCGGGTATAGTGACTATTTGTAATGAATCATTTGTAAAAAATCCCTAGTAATCCCATTCAGATATAGCTACCAGAGTCGGACGCCAAAGACACAAAGAGCTTTCTTATCTTTTGTTTACATTCACACAGGTGGTCAGTAAGTGTAGTGACTTTTACCGTTTCTTTATAGACGTTAGCCAGATACAAAGAGATATTCTGAATAGCAAATGTTTAGTAAACTTCTGAATAAATATGACTCCTAATTGCACATTTACTGTTAAAAAAAAGCGGAAATCGTTTCAAAATTGAAAAATAGTGAGACCTACACTTACGTGTCTGTACCTCTTTACCTTTGCCTGTAACGACTTCCGGATATAACGACGAAATTACACTATTCCCTTCGTCGTCGTTATATCCGAAATCTACTATACCTCCCAACCGTCTTGTCTTACAAAGGGCCATGCATTTAAAATGGTCGAAACATCGACAATTGTAAGTTTTTTTTAAACAGATAAAAAGCAGTAATAGCTGATTGTTAAAAAATGTACTGGTGAATACGAAGGAAAAGCCTGATTCATACATAGGAACGGTCACAATCTGATCAAATATGGTACCATTCAAACAATATGTAGGTACGATTATGATCAAATCACAGTCAAGTAATTACTCAATAATTCTGTCGGAGTTTATGACTACCCTCCCTCATCGACGTCCCAAATCAGTCATAGTCTTTTTCGAAATATTGTTTATGCAATAGACCAAGGTAAATGTAACTTTTTGTTAATGGATTTTTTGCGAGACAGTTGCAACCGTTACAATGTTTATACACATTAAAACCCTAGGTGAGTTGAATGTTACCAACAGGAAGCATATCTAACAACGAAAAGCGTTTCTAGTAAGTTTCTAAACGTTTTGTGGAATTTTGGTGTCTAGCGTTTATTTAAAATAAACAAACTAACCTATCGTAATCCAATTCTAAACTAAAAAAATCAATCGCTTCTTCTGAAATAAATAATCATAAGCGTAAATGATAAGAGACAGTATTTCAAAATGTAATCGAAAGATTTATTATATAATTTCACAAAACTGTTACATCTGCTTAAATAATTCTTATTCATGCTTTATTCTAGCTGTACGAGTAACAATAGAGAAAACGATAGAAAAAGGAAAGTGTCTACATTTGTAGATTTAAAAAAAGCTTTTGACAATGTTAAATATACTTACAAAAGTACGGATGAGTTACAGAGATACAAGAGTGATACTTAAAAGCAACAGGTAGTTATAGCTTGTATGAAGGCCTAGTCAGAGACACATTAGAGGCAGAAGCAGAAGTTAGGAGGGGTAGAGGTAGACCTAGATTACATTACTGTTTGTAAATGGTTAAGCATGTGGGTTGTTCTAGTTTAAGGGAAATGCGATTAGCTCAGGACAGAATAAAATAATTCGAAGTGGTCTATATTCTGTCGAAACTGCCAGACGCGGATCGCGATTTCGATCTTCTTGGATCTCATCAGTGTCGCAGTCAGCTCCGACAGAACACAGACCAACTTTTACCTGCTGCCTTAACAGCGCGTTTTAGAAAATAGCACAAATGGCGCGGTAAACGCCATCTGTAGTACGATGCTACATTATAGGATTACGTATGCTTCAACAAGGTCCATTTAAATATATGGATATCTGCTTGCTGAAACGAATCCCGGCGTAGCTCACCTCAATGTGGTAGGCACGTTACTATAATCGAATAAAATAATTCGAAGGGGTCTGTATTCTGTCGAAACTGCTAGACGCGGTAGAAGCATACGTAATCCTAAAATGTAGCATCGTACTACAGATGGCGTTTACCGCGCCATTTGTGGTATTTTCTAGCTCAGGATAGGAAAGAGTGGAAAGAGTCAAAGCAGTCTTAGGACTCACGACCTTATGATGATGATGGTTCTAAAGTATATGGAGACAATTGTACAGTTTTATAATAACATTTTTTTCCGTTATTTACACATATTTTTTTTCGTTATTTACTCTTATATAAAAATATCGTTGGAGACAAACACTACGGTAAATTGACTGGACCGTGATCGTACCTTGATCAGGCCGTGACCGTCCCTATAGAATGATGAATCGGCTTTAAATGATTCTGTTACTTTATTTGTTACGACAATAACTCTGTTTTTTAGAAGGAAACAATAAGGAAGTTTTGAATTCTTTTTTTGAAAATATTAAGCATGTAGATGTCAAAAACAAAAAATCGTTAAATTGAAAAGTAGTAAAAATCCAAAAGTACTAATTTTTTAATTATTATTTCTAAACTAGTACTAATTGTTATTTGAATTTTGAAATTTTATGTTATGAAACCAGTAAAAGGCTGATAATGAAATCCTTTATTACCATTTCATTATTTTATAAACTGTTTTTGGTACTAAACCTCACATACAGTGTTTTTTTTTCAGATATCTCGCATTCAATATTTTAGAAACGACTTTGAAGCAAATATCTCATGACTCATGAGTCATAACTAAATGACTGAAGTCAAAACATCCTAAAGCATCCTTACAAGGAATCATCCCGTGTGGCAAAATTTTTTTTAGCCAAAATTAATATTCTGCCCAATATCGGTAAAAGTGTGGCCATTAGACCAAGATTTACCCAAGTTAAAATTGGTCTCAAGAATTTATTTAAATAATTTTAAGTTAATCAATAGTTATTTAATTTACTGAACTTAGAACCCATTAAAAATAAGCTGTTTCGAAATTTAGAGAAAAATTTTCTTTTTTTTTCCAACTTGGACTGAAGTTTATCAGTCATATATTAACCGTACATTCAAAACAGACTTTATTTAAGATTGGGCCAAACTTGATTTAAATGTACCAAATAATGTATTTGACAATGTTTATATTAATAAATAAAAATTTAATGTAAAAAAACTAAATCCTTTTCTTTATATAATCCTGTAAAACATTATTGGGAGGGCTAAATAGCCAAAATTGAGCCAGATTTGGTTTATTCATGGGCCGAATTTGGTCCAAAAATTAAATGTGGGACAATCCATTTCTGGCCCGAGTTTTTTGCCAATTTAGGCCCATGATTTTATCTTGGCCAATAACTTTGACCCAAATTTTGCCCTAACTTTTTTTCTAATGGGATATCGCATTACACTACAAATACAAACGTCTTAAATTAAAACATATCAAATGATTAAACCCATGTGGTTACTTTTTAAACATTTGTAGGTGTTTTGCAAACCACTACTTCAAGTGTCTGATTTTTTTGCAATGTTTTATAAAACTAATAATTTTTAATTATTAAAAAACTTAATCTTTATTGATACACTTTGGATAATAAAAGTTGAATAAAATATACATAGGTACCTTTTGAATATTTAATAATTACATTAATCAGAAATTTGTGAACTTAAATAAATTGATATGGATTAACTACATTTTTAAGTATAAATAAAATTTAAGGTAACATTTAAATTATCAAAAAATATTAACTATTAAAATACCAAAACAATAATTTAAAATAATATTGTAAAAATATTTAGAAAATATCAATTTTGTTTACTTTTTTGTTGAAGCAACGTCAGCATTAGAAATCGATTCCCTTATTTTATTAATTATCTTATCTCTTCGCAATTGCTCAGTGGTTATTATCCATGAAGATTATAGTTTATTAATTAATTAATTTCGACTCTTCACTATTGAAGAGTTTCTTGCTTATATGTACTGAAATATTTTTTCTTTAACTCAATGAAACATACATACTTAGGTAAGTATGTTTTAGATGGTAGTACTTTTTTAATATATATACGTATACATATGGTTTCCTATAAATTTATCTACGCCTTAATATTTTATTTCCAAACGTTTCATATAATTTTCAAGCATGAAAAGTATTTGAATTCATTAAAGCACTTAAACTGAAGAATATTCGTTTCAATCATATATTTCAAAACATTTTTTACAATTCAAGCATTAAAAATGTTTTGTTTTAAAACACTTTTGGATTTGTAGTGTACGGGACCCTAACTAAAAACTTTAGACATTAAAATAGAACCTGATACATACATTAAAGACTACAAACGAATAAATAAGTATAGTAAATTACCTTTATATACACAACAGTGGATGTGAGGGGTTGTGTAAGAGTAGCACCACCTTTCGCAATTGGAATTTTGTCTTCTAAAATACGAGTAAGGTTCTCTAAAGTATTTATCATACGGATTGTAATAGTAATGGTAATAATACCAACAAGAACATGTAGAAACCGCGGAAAATATAAAAAGCACTTTCGTTAACAACATGTTGGATAGAAATAAATTTTCTTTATTACAACTATTTTACATTTAAACGATTTCAGATAAATTTCATAAAAATCCGATAAAGGTTGTACATTTAGACTAACGACAAATATTTCCAAATGGTGAGAATTTCGATCAAATAAACCTCTATTTACACACGTATTCCTTTATGTGGTGTAAAGCTGGAATTATCATATCTTTCCCTTTTTAAAAAAAATGCCTCAATGTCGAAATCAGATTTCAGTAATAGCTCGTCTGAGAATTTATCGATCGACAAACATCCGAGTGTTATATCGAAAGTTATTGATGATTTCCAGACAGATGCAACACTTCTATTCACTTATGGAATAATATTTAATTAATCGAGAAGATAATTGAAAATACTAAGGATTAGTTTCATGATGGTCGATTTCACGCCTTAACTACTTAATCAATCATCATAAAATTATGTAGACACATTGTCAGTGCTACAGAAAAAGATATAGAGTACCTTTTATAGAGAAAAAAATACTGTTCCCGAGGGACGAAAATTAGTTTAATGTCGTCGATTTCACGCCTTAACTACTTAATCGATCATCATGAAATTTTGTAGACACATTGTCAGGGGTATAGAGAAGAACATAGGGTACTTTTTATCTGAAAAGAAATACTGCTCCCGAAGGATAGAAAACATTAATTTAATGTGGCCAATTTCACGCCTTAACTACTGAATCGATCATGAAAATTTGTGGACAGCTTCTGAGGGGCACAGAAAAAGACATCATCATCACCATAAGGTCGTCAGCCCTAAGACTGTTTAGACACGTATCGCCACTCTTTCCTATCGTGAGCTAAACTGAGTCCATCTTCGTATTTCCCTAAAACTAGAACATCCCACATCCTTAACTATATGCGAACAGTAATCTAACCTAAGTCTACCTCTATTCCTCTTAACTCCTTTTTCTGCCTCTAATATGTCTCCAACTAGACCTTTATGCCTGAGAAGGTGTTCTACCAACCTATCTCGCCTATTGTTTATTGACTTACATAAAGTCCTCTGTTCTATTCCTTCTAATAGCCCTTCATTTCTAACCTTTTCTACCGAAGTTATTCTCATCATTCGCCTATAAAACCACATTTCGAAGGCTTCTAACCTTTTCATTTCCGCCGCGCCCACTGTCGATGTTTCGCACCCGTACAACGCCGCGTCCCAAACATACACCTTTAGCAACCTTTTTCGAATTTCTAAATTAACCGTTCGCAAGCATAAAAGTAACTTCTTTTTATTGAAGGCGATACGACTTTGCGCTATCCTCTGCTTTATATCCCTACTACTCCTTCCGCCCTGACTTATCTGACTTCCTAAATATCTAAAATCAGTCACTTCTTCTAATTTTTCGTCTCCTACCTTTATATTCGTTTTTTTCCTACTTTTCTTTCCCTTGCATACCAGTATTTTAGTTTTACTTTTATTTATTTTCATACAGTACTGATCTGTCAGGACCGCTTCCATCTTATTTAAAGCTATCTCTAGGTCCTCCTTGCTAAATGCTAATACTGCTATATCATCTGCAAATATAAGCATACTAATCTTTTGCCCCTGTGTATCTATCCCTACAGTTGTACTGTCTTTAATGATGTTGATCGCGTCTTCGATGTTTAGATTAAAAAGTAGCGGTGACAGTATGCATCCCTGTTTGACTCCCTTCCTAATATTTACTTCTCTACGTTGCCTCCCTAGCCCTATAACTGCCTGTTGGTCTTTATACAAACGAAGTATCACTCATCTATCTTTGTATCTCATCCCTACATTTTTAAGTATATTTAACATCTTGCCCAATTTAACATTGTCAAAAGCTTTTTCTAAATCTGCAAATCCCATGTACGCACTCTTTCCTTTTTCTATCGTTTTCTCTATTATTACCCGTAAAGCTAGAATGGCCTCCCGCGTTCAACTGTTTCTTCTAAACCCAAATTGATCTTTCTCTAATACTTATAGGAATGGGAAGTTATGTTAATTGTTCTAAATGTCTCTCACCCATCCGCGCCCCTCTTTTTAGGTAATGTTACTACTACGTTCCGTTTATAATCCTCTAGGAGTTTCCCCGTTTCGTAAATGTGACTAACTAGCTGATACATACGATCTCTAACCTCTTGTCTTGCATGTTTTAGAAATTCCCCCTGTATCCATCTATACCTTGCGCCTTATTATTCTTTAAATTTTTTCTCTTTTTATGGGAAAACCAAGCTCATCTATTTCCACACAATATTCCTTCTCTAATATATCTCGTAACTCAGGGCATGCGTAGAGGTTCTCTAAATATTCTTTCCACCTATCTGCCTTTTCCTCATTTTCTATCAAGATGACCCTTGCCTCGTTTCTTATATTATTACTACTGTATCCTACATCCCTAAAATTCCTTTTAATGATATTATACGCCTCATCGGTTTTACCTACTTCAAACTTTTCTTCTACTTCTTTACACATCCTATCAATCCACTGTTCCTTAGCTGCCCTACACTTCCTAATTATTTCACACTTTATAGTTTTATATCTTTTTTGCCCTTCTTCGTCTGTGCTGTTTTTGTATTTCCGCCTTTTAATCCTACAATCTCATGTGTTATCCAGGGTTTCCTACTTACGTAAAGGACATAGGGTATTTTTCATCTAAAAAAAAAAGACACCCGAAGGACAGAAAAAATTAGTTGTGGAAGTTGATGATCTTTGATGCGTATTTAGGGCAAGAATGCGAAAGAAGCCACAGGTCAAATCTAGTGCGTAATAATTATGCTAGTGTCTTAAAATCTAATAAAATGCAACAAAAAATGTATGTATTTAAAACTGTGATTGGTTTTTGACAAATCAGTCACAATTCTTTTTTCTGTGTCGTTATCAATGCACCCCTTCCCCTTTAATTCAAGCAGTTCTCAAAGCATTTCAGTCACCATAAATGTCTACTAGTTTCTTCAAAATTTTGGAAAAAATTTAGAAAACCATCGACATTTCAAAATATCTGAAATTTTAACGAGCAAATGACTGTCACTCTCCTGAAATTTAGGATTTTGAGTCGAATCTAGTCAGATCGTCAATGATTCCTTCTCGATAGAAGGGATTTGCTTTAAAATGAAATTTTATACTAATACAAACTGATATTCTATGAAGATATTTGTAAATTTGAAATATTAAACTCGAATGGTACAATGTGAGCCCTCTCTTGGACTGTTCTTTAAGTTTCGATGTTATCTCACAATACAGTTCACTACATACGACCTAGCTTTGACAACCAAAGAATCAGTTTAATTCCGCCACTAAAACATAGGTGCCAGCATGCATACCAATCGCAAATTCATTAAAGAAAAACAGTTTCATTCATAATTCAAAAACGAATTATTAGTGTACACGTGACGTACGTAGTACACACGTACTACAGGGACATATCCACACAAACGGAATAGTAAATAGTACTCTTTTTTTGTTAAAATCATAAGTAAACGTCCTGTTTACAAAAATTAAGTTGATAAGATACGTTTTTAATTAAAACTAATCGTAGGTGATCACGGAAGTTGTTTATTTATTGTTGTTATACTTCAAATAAACACAAATAAATTCATTTAACTTTTTAATTAAATTGATTTAACGGAGAAGTTACACAAAAAAATAATTTTAGCATTACAAACCTAATGTCAGGTACAAAGATTATATATAACTTATCATCATCAAATATTATCACAGTATTAAAGCTACAATTATATTTACAAACAAGACATACTGTGACTAAAAAGAAACTAAATTCTTATGTAACCTATCATCACAACAACAAAGTTAAAAAAATTTAATACATTTCTTATATACAACAGTTCTGTAACATTGCAATTTTTTTCCCGAAGTACAAACGATCATGAAACAAGAAATGGTGGTGATTTTGTTATTAACTGGATAAAACGAAAATGATTTTTGCGTACAATACAATACGCTAATTAACACATTCATCAATGTTTTTACGGTACAGTTGTTTGTGCAGTTTCAACTTTTTTAGTTTTTGATTTATGACGCTCTAATGGTATACATATGTAAGACGATGTTTTCATTCTTGGCTTCTTAAAATTACGCAAACTTAACTTCATTCCATTACGTTAACACAAGGGTTGGTTCACACGAAGCGAAGCGACGTGGCGCGATACGCTAAACGGTATTGATTAAACTTCACCACGGCCTCCACATCTTCTGATTTTGATTGGCAACTTCCGTTGAAGAAGGTGACAACGGTGGTGTATAACCTTGCACATGATGCGCGTAATGCATTTGCGAAACGCAATCCAACTGTCTCATGCAAGAGCCGAGGTGTTGGAGCAGCTTCCTACCAGCCGCGGGGTCAACACAGTCTTTCGGTGATGACAAAAATTGGGACACTTCTTGAGCGCAATGTGTAAAACCAGCACGAAACCTGTCCGCATACGACTGTTCAGACGGTAAAATTAACTGATGCTGACGTTTGAGGTTATGTAAGTGGCGCACTGTCAACTCGAGGATGTCCGCTTTTTCAAGTTTCGAAACGTTTTCGCCTTCACTCTGTAGAGCGGTCACCATTAGTTCCTTCAATTCGTCTAAACAACGATTTATCCTAGCTCTCCGTTTTCTTTCTAACATCGGCTTCATAACTTTTCGATATTGGTAAGTACGAGATATCGGCTCCTCTCCATATTCACTGTTCTGCACCATGTATGCTGTCGGTGCCATTTCGATTGTCGCAATAACAAAACACTACGCGTACTAACTGATTTATCGCTGTCGCTTCGTTCACTACGTCGTCGTACAGAAACGAAAACAAAATAACGTCAAACGTAGATAGATTTAAGTTATATACGAAGTGTTAAGTATAAGTGGAGAGGGACAAAAGTGGGGACCAAAGGAACAACCTTCCTTCTCGAGCTTTATGGCCAATGCTCGCGAGGGATTTCTCCGTCTCTGTCTGACGTATCGAAAGCAGCTTCGGACGCGCTTTGTTTATGATGGTACAATGAAAGCACAGCTATGTAAAAGCTGCTTGGGTAGCAGCACCCTTTTTACTAGATCGTGTGACCGTCGACTGTGGGAATTTTTGGACGACAATTAGACCATTACGTGGAGATTGAAACGGTTTTTTGAGGCGGGGAGAAGAAAACAAAACGCAAGGATATCCGATTGCAAAAGACGGACCGAAAAAATTGCGATTTTGTTTCCACTTTTTAATACATATTAGAAACTAACTGATCGTGAAATAAATATTACCTACGTAACGTCACTACACTACATTTTTATCAGTACGTGCTTCATCTTTTTTTTTTTTTAATTATCTGACATGGAATGTCTCGGAATTATACCTACTTACCTACATATGAACAAAAAGTTTCACGTTCATATCTTCCCTGACTCCAACATTTTAAATGCGAGTTGTAACCACTTTATGATCCTAACCCAACCGCTTTTTTGCTTTTTTTCCATAATGTAAATGTTGCAGTGGAAATTATAATAGTTTCGCTTCAAAACTTAAGTCATTGATTACACAGGTCTGCGAAATTTTTTTTTTTTGAAAAGTTTTTTTCTTAAATTGTTAATATTTGTCGTAATCGTCTTAAAAGTAATAGAAAACGATATTTATATGGTATATACCACGTCACATTAACCCATAAATGCTCAGAGAACACATTTCCATTTGAACCCTTGCCACGTAATGGGTGCGACGAAAAAATATTCGATAACCAGTGTTTCTATGTTTTTAACGATGCTCTTTTCGATGGTGTTGGTTAAAAATACCTCCGACAATATTAAAGCATGGAAAAATCGAAAATAAACAAAAAAAACGTGATTTTTGAATTGACTTTTTTCTTAAAAAGTAATTTTTTGTGTCCTTACGATTTTTTTATATGCTTAAAACCTATATAGATCATGACCTCGATATCTAAACATGAAATAATCACCGTTGGTCAAGTCGAAATGCCTTTACAAACTGTTTGATCAAACCAAGTTTAATGTAAAGTGGTGGAAGCAATACTTTCTTCTTTCAAACTCGTATTGATGACATTTTTCACTCCGACTTCCAATTGCATTCTAATTTGGACATAGAAATACCGAATAACAATGATTTTGATTTACCATAAGTCCACTGTCTTAACACTTCAACACATAACCGGCATATTTTATCGTAACCCAGTGTTTATCTTGGTGACACAACTTCATTCTGAAGTAAGCTTAATAAGCATTTTTTACAAAGTCTGTTATATTCAATCTTTGCTTAACTATTGTATATTGTCCGCAAATGTAAAAAAATATATTTGAATTGTTTTTACAACTCCGAGAAGCTATAGTTAAAGATAAATGAAACACAATCTTTTACTACACGTTGATATTATATCTCTCTCTCATCAATAATGGCGCGCTATAAACTATTTTTTTTTCAGGCGGTGTAAACGACGATAGTTACTTTCAGATTATCTTAAATAAACAATATGGTCTATATATCAAAAGAATAAAAAAATGTTCCAGTTAGAAAAGATTTCGGGTTTTCAAGTTATAGAATTTCGACTGTAGCTACGCATTTTTATGATTAAAATAAATATTAATTTTCACAATTTTATGTACAACGTTTTGAATATGTCTAATTGACAATTTGTTGTTTTGGAAAGTGTTTTAATTTTAATTTTACAATAAATTTCCATCAAGCATCAAGCAGAAGTAGATTCAATAAATCATATCAATATATGACATTTTAGTATTACTTTTTAAACAACACATTACGCGGAAATGACGTTTATGCTTATTACACGTTACACATTATGCTATTTTATGAGAAGTGCGGATATTTTTTTGAGATAATTATAAAGTTGAAGATAAGATTTCTTTAATCAGATGGCAGACACACGTAGTGTTTGCATAGTAAAATTTTGGATTACGCAACAATAACATGTTTGTAGGTAACTTAACAATATAGTCATTCGCACTAACTATATATAGACCAACAGACCTACAATAAATAGAACAAACAATATCTACACAATGAAGTAAGTAAATAAATTAAGGGAAGAGACAGTTTAATTTCACAAAAATCATTAAAACCTTGCTATTTATTACCTCCTTTGGAATGATTAGATTCAATTTTTACGAAGGTGTGTGTGTGTACCGACTTATTGTGGTTTAGGTTATGGCATGAATTAGTTTTTTCGGATTTATCTCTGATTATTAGGTATTAATCCCTATTTGGTATAAAGTACACATCGAAGTTTAAATTGTTTTTTTTATACATAGGTACTTATAGATATATATGTTAGGCCCGAAGACCGAAAACGCTCAGTGGCCGGAAAAACGGCCACATCGCGTTCTGGCTGCCTTCGAACGCACAGAACGCGTTTTGGCAATTATAAGTAATTTAATATTGTTGAAATGATTCGGCGAGAAAAACCAAACCCATCTTTGGTATCTAATTATAGTTGTCAATAATTGAATTGTTTCCTAAAAACTGAAAAATAAGAAAAAGAAGTTTCTAATTTATGGAGTTTTGTACTTTTTTATTTTGAATCGTTGTTCGTTGAAAATATATAAATTTTTCTTAACGATTTATTACTCCAATCTATTGTTTCTTTTTTAACGCGGCGGTTGAGTACAACCGAGGAACAAGGAAGACAAATCTTCATTTACGAACCAACCCCAAAGCTGCAAATTCGTTTGTTCCTTATGTACGTCAGACTCTTTGTTCACATAAGTACACAAAATATTGTGGCGTGTAAGTTCCAGTAGTTCTTGAATGTCAAATGGATCCATGCCGGCTACTGCATACAATAACAACAAATTATTTTACAAAACATATATATATATATGTGCAACAGGTATCTCAGGACGATAATGAGTGGTATTCTCCTATTAAGAAACTGCAAAGTCCCTAGTCACTGGTGGTAATAAATAGCGTGGGCTGTGGGCGCGGTTGGTAATGTTCTTGCTCGTAACAATGAAGATTCCCATAATGGCTGGGCGGTACTCGGGCTCTTATTGTTTGACTCCTTGAAATCTGGTCTCCTATCAACGTCAACTCTCGAGCATTCAATTTGGATTACATATGCTAATCGAACCGTCTGATTACTAGGAAGAGTGCCGACTTATGACTAAGTAGGAAAAAGGCGAAAGATGACGCGACGACCTGTCAATCGATCCAGGGTTTGCTTTTCATTGCTATGCAAAGTAAATAGTTAAACCAATGTAGAGGTAATTTAGAATTACATGAACCTTCGTTTTGGGTTGCACAGTGGCATAACTCATCCGCCGTCTTGGTGAAACTCGAACTCTATCCCTGCTGTACGGCGACTGAAGGGTTTACAATGTGAATGCGATAAGCCCTGTCCCTCGCGGATCTGAAGTTCTGAAGGTCCATGTCATTCTAAACTACCTGTACTTTACTGTTATTTATTGCAATTGCTGCGATATTTTGAAGATGAGTCATAGTCAGAATGGTATAAGTTCTTGGTCAATCGTTTTTTTTTAGAAACTACCGGACGTAGATTCGAGATTTCAATCTTTTAGATCTCATCAGCACGTCATGATCGGTTCCGATAAATTATATGTTAGGTAAGGGACTTACTAAAAGGTATCGATTTGTCGATCGACGACGCATTCATGGTACGAACGTATGCCCAATTAGTAGGAACAGTAGATGCAAGTCCTTAGCCAGATATTTATCGAAACTATTGATAATTGCTGACCAAAAGGTTACTTATTAAGAGTTTATATGTTCATATATCTCTTGTTACTAATTTGGTCGAGAACTAATAAATTTTTTTGTATGTGAAAATTCTCTGGTCGTCTATTTTCTTGTAATTATATATAAAAAATGTTGTACCTACACTTATAACTAGCCAAAGAATTTTTCATGACGTTGCCCATTTATGACGTGGGTGGCCGGCACCGAAGCCAGTGAAGGACCAACGCGTGGCATTGCAGGTTGCTCCGTCCAACGTTGCGCTCCGCAATCTGTTCGACATTTAATCTTTCGAACTTTGGTCCTCGGCTGCTTCGATAGCAATGGGAATTTAATCCCTTGCGGAGCAGAGAATTCGATAACGGGGCATATTTAGCACGGGCGCAGGTGCTCGCTCACCTGTTGCACGACCATTCGCTCACTTTCGCCCGTTTCTCCGTACGCCTTCGCCGATACCAAAGAGGAGGCAGCATGTGTCAAGAAAGTCTATTTCAAGCCTTATTGCTTACATAAGTAATCAGTGAGAAATAAAAAATGGGGAAAACAGCGTTCGCCCGTATGGTTTGTTTGGAGAGAGTAAAAATAATCCGGTCATGTATAAATATTGCAAATAGAATCATCTGGTGCTCCTGTTGGCATCTATAGGGTTGTTCGGAAAGTCAT